TATAATCCTTATTTTACCTCTGCAGCAGAATGTCAAAAGCCAATCTCATGTTTCCAGCTGTGTTTTCTCTGTGTGATCCTGGGCTCTTTATGCCAGTGGGTCCACCCTGTAGGTGTGTCAATGTTGGGCTTGTCTTGTGTCTCAGTTGGTTGTTTCTGGAAGTTTCTTTGTTTTTCCCCCCTCTTCTTCTTCTGCCCTGTGCAGCAGGAGAGGTAACCCGTAGGTCACTGAAGTCCAGTTTGTTTTTTTTATTCTACAAGACGTCCAGCAGGGATGTGAGCTTGACTTTTATTTTCTCTCTCTCCTCTTGTTGCCTGTTAATCAGTTGACACATCTCCCGTCGGAGCAGTATCCAGCTGTTCTGTCTGCACTCTCAGTTCCTTCTTGGTTTGTATCAAGCGGGATGGCTACCCCAGTCGAGCACCTTGAGGAGTCAGCGTCAGCACCAGCAGGTCGAGCAGCAGAGCAAGGGCATCACAAGTGTGCATACTGTAACGTCCTCTGAACCGGTGTGCCTTTCTGCCTTTTGGAGTGTGTGTGTGTGTGTGTGTGTGTGTGTGAGAGAGAGTGAGGTTGACTCACTCTGCACTCTGTAAAAGTGCTGCAGTAAACAGCCAGGGCTCTGCTCAAATACACGAGCTTCTGACGCAACCGAGCAACAGCCCCAGGATGGCCAATGGGATGGGAGCAGCTGGAGCTGGGAGCCAATTGGAAGGAGGGAAGGACTCGTGTGGGCCAGTCTGAAGACAGGAAGTGGGAGGGGGGGGTTTATTTTTTTTGGGACCGGGTAGTGATGAATATAAACTCAGCAGGTACTGCTGCGACCCAATGAGCTGAGTAATGTCATGAACACACACACAGACTTTTTATTTATTTATTTATTTTAATAATCGTTCTGTAAGATTTGTTTTGGTTGACATTTAAAAGTGACAACCTTTTAAATGCTAAAAGACTTTCAGTGAATTAGACAATCAAGGGAGAAGCACTGAAAACTGAATGAGAGAGAGAGAGAAAATCTATTTACAGAGATCGTGGGATGTCTTTACTTCTAGTTTCTTTTATGTACTATAAAAATGGCCCAACATCCGACAAATCACAACGCAAATACTACTCAAAGTCAAACGCTGATAGTGTCTGACTTTTAATTTTATAGTTTCTTCTCAAGTTTAAACTATTACAACTGTTAATAAAACTTTCTGTCAAGTTTGCTTGCATTTTTTATTAAAAGAAAACTTAAAAACTTTAGTTTGTTCTCTGTGTCAAACAAAACATCACTAGCTCAATACAAAGTTTCATAAACCAGTATCTAAATATATTTCCCTGTGGTGATTCATGAGTCGGCATGTTTTTTATCAGTTTTCTAGAGGAAGCTGATAGGAGCTTTGAGTCAGAACTGTGGGTGTGAACTGATAGGACACATCGGCCAACAGTGCTATCTAGGTCAGATAGTGTATCATGTAACACCTTGTGCCCGACGCTGGCACTACAGCCCTGAGACTCTTGAAGAAAGAAGGTGGACGAAGGCAATTAAACTTCTTTCTAAGTTTAATTAAATTAAACTGCTTGCCATTGTTGCTATAGTATATTTCATTACTGTGAATGTTAGGAGACAAGTGTGGGTGGCTCTACATCGAAGGCAAAAAAGATGATCAAAATAAATCTCAATACAAGACAGTTAAAACGTTTTCTCTTTATAATTAGATATTAGATAAATTCCCCAAAATGTGACATTTGATAAGTAATTATTTTACTTCTGAACTTTAAAATCACATTAAGGTGTGACTGTGAAATGAGAAAAGTGCCGTTCGTGGCGGGGAAGGAAAAGGGACAAGTTGACGTGACCTAGAAGTGCTCCACTTGTGTGTCTGTCTGTCTGTATATTTGTGGTCCCACATGTGCGTATCGCTGACACTGATATAAACACCCGAGTTCTCCTGCATGGTGACACGTTCGTAATATTCACAGGCGCAGAAAAACAAGTTGCAGATAATCTCACATCAAGAGACTACATGCATTATCTGCCACACGAGATACTACATACGTCACTTAGGCTGGCATGACTGTAGAGGTGAGGACTAATGAGCAGAAATGGAGGCTTCTTAAAAGGATGAAATTAACGACAAAATGTTCTATAATGTGTTCAAATCTCATTGCCTACGTTGACCTTTTCATGCCCGCRCTCTGGTATTGGTTTTTCACCCGAGACTGCAAATCAATAAATCGTTCATAAGTGGGGACACATTTCAATTCTCCCACCCTCTTCTTGCTGTGTCACGATTCTCCATTCTTTATATCCTTCGTTAATTCATTTTGCCTCATCCTCAAAGGGGCCAAAAAGGCGTCCCGAGAGCCCCATTCCTCAAGCTGCCTGACTATTTTTCATGGCCTGTTGAACAATACTTTCCACAGAGAGCAAGATTAAAAGCAGGGGCAGAAAAAAAGGGTGGGGGGAGGCGGGGTAAAAAGAGATCAGACGAGAAATACCACGGATTATATATAGATATGAAGAGAGCAAAGGCTGTAATACGTCTGTGTTTATTGGCTGTCAGAGTCTATTAAGAGAGAGCACACTACAGCTACAGAGGACAGACTTCCCTGTCTGTCAAGTGCAAAAAAACAACAAGTAAAGCCAAGAGATTTGAACAGCATCTCCATTTCAAAAGTTTCCCAAGCATTCACACTGTATGTCATCCAGTCTTTAATAAACACATGGAGCAGCTGGCTCAGTTCAAAAACACTCAAGCAGCTTTAAGGAAAAAACAAAGTCTCCAACAATAACAGCCAATTACACTCTTAAAAGATTTAAAAAGTAGCTCACACTAAACTACACGATAAAGAGATAAAATAGGTGACAAAAGATGAAAAATATCAAACTGTTGTTGGTCAAAATTATGAAAAAAATATGGAGTATTTAATATCGAAACAAATACACACAATCAATAAAGTGATCTTTAAAACTGCTATGAAAGCCCAAGGATAAAAAATTATGTATCGTTTTGGACAAATAAAAGATAAATTAAGCACAACTTAATACAGAATCAGACAGTGGCCTTTTTTAACAATTTAAACACATGCATTCCTCAAAGCACTATATTTTGAAAAATAATCTTTGTGGAGTCTAGACTTTACAAAAATAGCAGTAATCCTTAASAAGAGATAGACTAAACAAGGTCAGCAGGATGATGTCTACAGCCCTGAGAACAAGCTTTTTTTTTTTTTACCGTATACAACTAAAATTTAACAAAGACAAACACTAAAAACAGTCCGGATAGCTTAGTTTTTGTTCAGGTGATTTGATGCATGTTTGTTTTTAGTAGTAGTGTGTTTAGTGTTGTTCAACAGCTGCTACCTGAAGTATTCCTTTAGCTAAACCTGCTTATCCTGCAGAGGGTTGCAAAGGACTAGATTACTGATCTGATCTCTTTGGCTGGTGGGAGGAACACTGAACACACCCTCAAAGGAAAACTCTCCCATGCTGAATCATCTCAACCAGTACTCTCAACCCCAGAACCTTCCAGAAAAGCCAGAGTAACCCACTGCACCATGTCCTGTCTCCAGCAAAACCAGACGCAGAGATTAACTGTTTGTGTTGCCTCACAGCAGCTGTGTTTAATGCGTGTCGATGGCTTTTAGATTAATCACTGTAATCATCTTAAAGGCCAGTCAAGCATGGCCAGCAGCCTGAACTCCACACAGACACACCGTCAGAGTCCAATCAGTGGTTGCAGGGTTTGCAGCGACAGAGCATTTTCACAGGAAATACACAMTCAGATCAGTTTGGAAGGTGATTACCAGTAAGTGCCGTCTCAGTTATTTACATAAAATCAAATGAGAAAGAAAGTGAATTCTTTCATCACTTTTTTAGTACCTTTATTCATTTACAGGAAAAAAATACTTTTACCATCTCTATTTTTTTTCTATTCCTTTGATTAAATGTCTAACTGGAGTCTCACTTCCCTGTATGTTAGGTAATCTGTGTTGCAAGTTTTTTTTTCCTCGTAAGTAATTAAGAAACTTTACTGAATTTATGATTAGTACTAATTTAAAAGTTTAGTCAGAATGATAAATTACAAAAAAATAATTTAAAAAGGAAGATGGGTAAAGATACACTTGCTCAATATTTTGTGTTCTGAACTACTGAGAGGAATTCATAAGAAAATGAGAGTATCTCTGTGTTCCAGTAGGAGGATAGATCTGTACACAGTCAGCGTAAAACAAGAAATCGAAGGTACTAAATACTCTAAAACATAAAACTGCATTTTCTTCCTTGTTTGTTATCTGACTGGTAAACAGCTGAATGACAAATGTGTCACCCTCATGAGAGACCAACAAGATAGATAAAACAAACATTTTATAAGGTAATATAATGGAGTCTAATGAATAAATGAATGGATACTTTATCAATTATTATAGCTTCAGTTTTGGATAATTTTATCACATCACATGCTGGTCTAAAATGTGAAGTTTATTCAATTGTACAGTATATTTAAATTAAATTGATTTTGAATACATCTACACAACTAGACTGCTGACATGTTGCCGGAGTATTGACTGTGTTGGCCAACACAAAATCAACACAATCCATATATTTCAGCATCACAATACTGAAAATTTAGAAAAAATGTCTTAAAAATTAATGCAAACACAGAGCTTAAATTAATATTCAGTACCATTTACAATTTTTTTGTTTTGTTTTTTGGTCATTTTTGTTCAGCTTTTTACACACTAAAAGTTGACCAAGTAATGTCTAAATGAATCAATAACTATGTTTGAATCAACCTTTGTTCAACAACAGAAATATATTATTTCAGTGAGAAGAAAAATTAACCAAGGAAAAWAATGATTTAAATACAGGAAATAAGCTCTCAGGTTTAAGAATATCTCAAAAAATAACAATACAATATATTCAGTTTTCCTAGTTCATCATACAGAAAGCAACAAGTAGTGCTATTAACTTAATAACTTGTCTGTTTATATTTAAATTAAAAGCGCAGCCTCACCTGGGGTTGGGGCTGTCATCGACGTGRGTGTGTTTTGGCGAGTCACAGGTTGCAGGTTCTTCCTCCCCGTCTTGAGGCAGATCTTCACATTCAGCTTCACACCTCTCATCATCCAACAGCTCTGTGATCTGAGAAAAAAAAACAATGCAAAAGGTTATAAATATAAATAAAAATAAAAGCAAAAATATTTACAGCTGAACAAATACTGCAAAACAGACCACCAGATTTAGGATAAAGTTGGGAAAAAAAAGTGAATTATGACAATAATTGTACTGTGAAGAAACAATAAAATTAAACTATTCAGTACAGTAAATTTTTAAATAGAGTTTAGAAATTACAATAAAACTGGATCAATTACAAAATTCCCTTGTTTAATAGTGACAATTAATGTCCAGGGATAAAAACTAAGTATATCAAATAAATGCTGAACTTCTTTTGCAAGACAAGATCAAGATATTTTTGTTTGTCAAGTGAGACATCTAAATATAGATGTAATAAAGATACAGTGTGAAGCCGTGTGACGGAGATTAAAAAAAGAAAAAAAATAATCTGAAGGACAGCTGGAGGTTGAAGACGGGAGTTTTAGATTCGAAGTGTTGAAAGGTTTCGGGAGTAGATCATTTTCATGATGATGTAGCAAAAGTATGTAATAAACAGGATAATCAGATTACAAATTGCTTCAGGAGGAAAAAGTAGGTCCACTACAACACACTTAACTAGTTTGACTTAAAATACTACATTTATTTATTTGTTTGTTTGTTTGTTTTTTCATGACAACCATCCAGCCTGCTTGGAATATAATACAGCTTTTTTAGAATAATTACAAAATGTTAAATAAGTTCATCATGCTAGTATGAAGCTCATTGACCAAACAGGGAGGGTAGAGAGGATGAAGGAAACACAAAACAACTCGATTTGCATTAAACAAGTCCAAATCAGCAAACTTTAAAAACATTTAAGTCACCAGTGAGTAGTTTTGGAAACCCATTTGCAGAAGTGTGGGAATGCTACGAGAGCTAAAGCTGCAGAAGGAGGGAGTGATAATTACTCTGCCAGCAGATGGAAAGCGAGACGGGAAGCAGAAAAGGAGAAGGGAGGTGGAATTTAACGTAAGAGTTTTCCGTGTTGACAGAGCTAAGTGAGCGTTACACCAACAGCTGAGAGCATTTGAACACGATACAAACAGAAATCCTTCGGATGTACTTAAATTCAGACAAGGATTTATGTTCTGCTGATTATATAATGTATTTTTTTAACTACGGGGTCTATTTACTCTAAATATTACATATTATTTTAAGGATGACTCAAGCTCTAAATTACTCACAGAACTGTCTACAACATTTTAAACACATTTAGTTTATACTAACTGGAAGAAAACATGGGTTAAAGGTTAAACCAACACATTAGTCTGTTTGTCCTCTACTCCACTTTTCTTCTGTTGCGACGCTCCCTCGCAGCAGCCGCCCCATCTGCTGCTGTCACTGAGTCGTCACTATGGAAACATTTCCGTTTCTAAAGCTCTGATTGGCTGTTGGGGAATTCTTGCATCGTCACYTGCGAATCTCGGAGGATGACTCACCAAGAGTGAGAGTTTGTGTGAGACACGAGGAGGATTTATTGACTGAACAAACAATAAAAGGATTTAACAGCGTCCAGCTAAACGAAAGCACTTTGCAGCATATTTCTATCAGCAGGACGTTAGCAGGATAAATACTTTTAGGAAATAAAACTACAATTTTTAGTGGGGGAAAAAAATGGAAGGAACTGCTAATATGTAATCTGAAGCACATGGAGATGTTATTAAAGTGTAGCAAGTGGAATTTTAGCATTAGCCATGTCTTCATGATATAAAAAAATGAATAAAAATAAAAAAGCGTGGTTTTAGTTGGTGTTTTTTTGTTTGTTTTTGAGTGTAAGTGTCTGACTACATTTGACAGCAGAGTGTTTTAACCACTTGTTTTGACGAGCTTAATAGAACCCTTCAACTTTTACAACTTAACGTATACTTGATTATTTTCCCAATGAATCAGTTCAAGCAGTTTGTGATAATTCCTCTGTGAGTCAGTGTTTGAATTTAGCCACCTAAACAACTTAAACARAAAAGATTGAAAGAATCTTAGAAAATCTGGAAACCAAGTTTGCAATGACTAAATGACAACAAATCATTCTTGTAATTCATCATGTTTAGATGTCTATAATATGCCTTAAATTCAACACATAAACATTAGATTCACTTTGATTAAAAAAAGAGTAACAGAGGCACTAACAGCTGGGGAATTACGATTATTATTATAATTTAAAGTTATATAATTGAATTTAAGAGCTGCRCTTTTAATTAAGATTGCAAAAGAACTAAATGAAAACAAATTATCAAGTTGGAAAGTATTAGTCATTGTTGTAAACAGTTTTCTCACAGTTTAAGGAAAGAAATTGCTTTCAAAGTCTAGTGCAGAGTTGCACATCTCTTTTCAACAAAGCAAGACAAAGATAAACAAACCATTTCACAATCAGATCATCACTATCATCACCCAGATCAGGATTTTTTAAAAATCAAAGATGTTTATGGACCATGTATAAAAAGTTTATTGACCCCCCCAAAAAATTAAATAAATAAACAAAAATAAAAGCATTTAAATGAAAGGTAGARTTGCATTACCATAATGTAAACCTAATTAAAAGTTAGTCATCACTAATACGAATAAGGAGTGACTGAGCATAATTTTAAATGCACAATTTATCAAGAGAATACCGCATCAAGGCTGCTAGTCAGTAATGTGGAAAACATGAGTCTGGATATGACTTCAAGCACAGAGACATTCCTGTTTGTACTTATTAGCATGCAAGAGTTGACACAAACAACAAAGCTTGATTGTATAACAACTCCCTGGACTATAGATGTTTGTTCAATTGGTATGAACTGTCCTGYGAATGTGATGGCAGCTGTGCTGAGTAAGTTATTAAAAAAAGCCTCGGAGGTGATGTAACAACATTAAAGGATAAGAGCATTTAAATCCTCTGTGAGGATGACCTTCCGTGTTCATTCATYGGGTGGAAAATATGATCCCGTTATTTAAGATTATGGAAAAATTTAACCACATTGACTCGGTTTAAACACAGAAGCTAAAATCTGTTTGCAAGAAATGTGGGGCTTTGGATCGAAAACATAAGGGGTTGGTGTTCATCTCCGCATGGCGTGTCTGAGTGGGTTAGAAGACAATACGGAGAACGCTCTGGGACAAAAGGTCGCGATCTTGGCCCTCGTTTAGCAGTCTGGTCCAGAGTTTCAGGACGGAACACGAAGAAAACAACTGGGCTGCACTGACATCATTTGCTTGGTAACTGAACTGTTTGTGGYCCAAGAACACAGAACAATGAAAACCGGTCCCAAACGGCGTTCAAGGCCTTTTTTCAATGGCTCATTTATTCCCGTTAGACCTGTTAACAGCTGTAAAATCGTTATATTGTACAAATAAACAAAATAAGAACAAAATTAAAGTTGATACTGTCTGGCATCTGACCGTAACAATGTTTTTTTTTTGTGTGTGTGTGTGTCAAGTGTCAAGTCTTTGTAAAAGCAAAACATTCAAAACCGGTTTCTCTGTGCTTTTCTGCAACTRTTTATCTGTATGATTGCACAGTTTACTTTTAGCAGTACCACAGGAGATTAGACCTCTAACTCATACTTCCTGCAGTGAGTGGGCAGTGTGATCCAGAATTCAGCTTTACCTTTAAAAGTGTTGGCAGCTGATTTATTCAGACCCTCTCCGGCCAACCATAAAATGCAAGTTAGAATAAATGTATTTGAGGTGAGAACTGTGGTTTCATCAACACTTTGTGGGGAAGAAAATGTTCTGTACATGATCATTCTTCCCTGAACGAATACATATTTTACTTCAAACTTTCAGCAGGAAAGCCTGAAGGAATGCGCAAACATGACGGAACACCCCATTTTATCTAATCTACAAAATGAAGGATAAGTTTAATAAAGTTTCCAAACTTTGTGAAGAATTCAAACCAAATACAGATCGCAAATCAACAAAAATATCAACTGGAATTATAGCACTGGCTGACCTTGATACAGCCCCTTTTTATATAAATAATTAAAATAAACCAAAGCATGTGTGTGAAAAGCAGGTGAGTGTGGGAGATGATCCTTTTATGAAGGTTTGTTCACAGACTGATGCTCAGAACAATGCAGGGATGGAGGAGTGAGTTAAATGGTTACATCACAGTTTCTTTTATTATGCCCCATTTAACTCGCTCATTCTTCTTTTACTTCCTCTCTCAGAAATCTCACATTTTTTCTCTTTCTACTATCCTGATCACCTTCTCTTATATAAGACACAGATGTTTACTCTATGCTTTTGTGTTCAGCTATTAAGACTGAAAAAGAAAGATAAAAAACAATGAATATGGGGGAAATATAATACCATTGGGTGCACAATAAAGAGCACCAAAAACACCAGGGTTTTCTCTCTTAAAGAAAGTGGGACATAATAAAGAAAAACAAAAGGTTAAGATTAAAAAGCTTTTACTATCGGAATATTATTTCCTTCTTTTGTGCAAAAAATAGCACAGTGAAAGTAAAGAGAAACTAAAAGGTCAAAATAAATAAGAGCAGAAAAGCTAATCAAACAATAAAAAAGCTAAACTTGTTTTAAATAGATAACATACTGAAGATAGGTAGCAAAGACTTGTTTATTTTTGCTAGACTTTTACAATGACTTGGCTGTACTTGKACTTTATCATTAAACGTTACGCTTATAGCCTCCTTGCAGAGTCAGGACAATGTGTCAGGACTTTCTTTAAAATTAATACCATAAATTCAACAAACAACAAAAATACAAATCAAACTAAATGAAAGGTAGCAGAAGAAGAACAAATCTTATATCTGCCCCAATTTCTCAAATAAATAATTTCAATCAAAAATAATCTTCAGATTACAAAAAGAAAAAAAGAAAAATAATAAAGGTTTAACTCCTTGAGCAACAATTCATACATTACACATTTACATATTTCTCCAACAAATTTACCTTTATCATTCTCTTAAATATACACATTGATCTGGCATTTTTAACGTCATAATCCAGATTATTCCATGATCTTATACCCTGGACTGAAGTACTCTGTTCCTTTAAACATGTTCTTAATTTGGGTTTAACCATCATTTCTATCCCCTTCAGATTGTAATGACTCTCTCTTTTAACAAAATGTGTTTGGATGTTTGAAGGTAATGTGTTTTTATGAGCCCTATACATAATTGATAAAATACCATAATCAACCAAATCATAGAATTTCAATAACTTCAACTGATGGAAACAATGTATTTGATGGGTGATAGTAATGTTTTCTAGTAATAATTCTCACGACTTATTTCTGTAAAAACAAAAATAGGGTTTGTAATTGTTTCACATGCTTTTCCCCAAACATCAATACATTAGATCAAGTATGATTTTGAGATTTCAATTCCGTTTCTTAGTTGCTATTATTTTTTTCTGTCTTTTCAACGACCTTGTCTCACATGCGACATTTTTTCTTTTTTTTTTGTTAAGTGTTCATTTAAGTAGACATTTGTTTCTTTCAGTTTCTTTGCTTGCATTATTAGATTGTTTCTTGATTTCCTGCTTATAAATCTGATAACTATGAATGGTTTGAATTTGTCTGATTTAGTAGGAAAGGTGTGACAGATGGAAATGTCATCACATTTAATGTCAATGTTTTTGTTTTGTAGAAAAGTCGCTACCTGTTGCTCCAGAGTGAGTAGTTCTTCTGGGACAGAGTCCTCCATGGTGTTTAGGTTTGCTACAACTCCAGCATAAGTCCGGTGTTTGAAGTCAAGTCCAGTAATTAACAAATAATCTCGTCTTTTATACTGTTCCAGTTCATCTGCCTTTTGTTCCAGGTAAACTATCTTTTTGTCTTGGTCACTTACTGCAACTTTCAATAGCTTCACTTCTTCAAACAGCCCCACCAAAAGTTCTTGCTGTGAAGCCACTCTTGTCAGTTCTGCACTCATAAAATCCAATGATTTTTTAAATTTCTCCATATTGTCTTCAGAGTTGTTTTCTGCTGAAGCTGACCCTCTTCTCTGGCCGCGTCTCGGCATGACTCACCAGCGCTTATCCCGACATCAACCAAGCCCAACAACAGGTCCGCACACCATGGTGTGTGAGATACCCATCATATTTATATTGTGTGGGTTTTATCATGTTGTAAAACAATGTAATCAGGCCACTGTAAAGTTAAATGTTTACTTTTTGTACTTTGGAATATGCTCATTAAACTATTTTTACAGTTTGAGCCAAATCAGATTTTTCAGGACACTAAAAACAATATTAATGGACCAAAGCATGAACGAACATAAACTGACTGAGAGGGGTCGTGGTCTTTTAGATTCTTTGAGAAAATATTTGGTTAATGGAAGAATGTTCTGTTCCTTTTCTTTAATGTAGTTCTCTGCAAAGCATAACAACTACTAGAAGAGTAGGGCCCTTTAGATGTTAACTCCAGATTGATTACTGAGAACTAGTAACCATGAAAGGAGGGAAAATAATGTTGTTCCCAGAATAAAGATCTATTCATTTAATCCCTGTAAATGTTTAAACTAAACCTCTATTTCTGGAGTCAAAACAAGCAGAATGGTAATTGTGGTTTGAGGTACTTATTGTATCAAGGTAATGATTTATGAGATGAGGAACTCGACCAAAGACAACCTGATTGTTTGTTAGGAAACAGCAAATTTTGGGGAAGGAATTAAGTTAATAATTCCTCTTTTTGTGTTTATTTTTAAAACACAGGAATATAGATTTTTTTAAATGTTCAAACTCACATCAGTGTTTATTCCACAAACTTTCCACATAAAGTTAGCCTAAAATGAAGCTCAACAGCTTCCTTTATGTTTTCCAAAAGCAGTTTGTGGCATTAAGAAAATAAATGTAACTTTTTGTGTGTGACAGATTTGTCTAATTGATTCTGAAATACAGATCTGATACTACATCTGATAATGTTTTCTCTATTTTAAATTGATCTTATTGTTTACATTTATGTGTTGCTCTGTTGTTTTATTCACTTGGCTGAATTGTGAAGCACTTTGGTCAACTTTTGTTGTTTTTATGTGCTATATAAATAAAATGACATTGACATTGATCCCACTATTTAAAAATAACCCCTTTAGTGTTACAGAAAAACAACTAAAGTGGATTTTGAAGGCTTTTGGACTGGACCTCTTTACCACTGCATAAAATTTGAATGTGACTTATTTAGGTGAGGAATGCCCAGTTTTGGTTCTTGAGGGTCACTATCCAGCATGTTTTAGACCTTTTTCTGCTCCAGCACAACTGATTTGAATGAATGGGTGATTAACAGGCTCTTGCAGAACTTGAAAAGATGATCCAATCCCTGACTCAGCTGTGCTGGAGCAGGGAAACCTTTAAAATATGCAGGATAGAAGCCTTCGATGACCAGGACTGGACACCAAAGGTTTAGAAGATGCAAGAAAAACTACAGAATACTGAGGAGAATTACAACAGACAATCAGTTTTCCAAGTTTAAATCTCAAACCTAAAATATGAAGGCGACAGTGAAGGAAAATACCCCAACCTGTTCATTGATGGAGCTGTAATCGTTGGTGGTGGACACATCATCATCCTCTGAGTCAAACAGGCCCTCCTGATTGTCCAACAGCTCTGCTAGGACTCTGCTGACAGACTCCTGATCTCGGAGGTCTTCTCTTTCAGCCGACAGACTGTAGACGAAAAAATATATATATATTGTGATTGTTTTACAAAGTGTCTCGTAACAAAAACAAACCCTCCATATTTTAAAACCATCATGTTTCAGGTACAGAAAATTTACAGTTGTGTTTGAACCATGATTACTGATCTTCTTACTGGAAGATATCTGGTCCGAAGACGGCAGCCAGCGCCGTGACGTTCCAGCTCTCCGGCTGAAGTGATGCCACGCTGGACAGGAAGCGGCACAGGAAGCGTAACAGACTGTAGTTCAACTGGGGAAGCTGCTGCAGCACATATTTTAGGTTTCTGCACAYCTCTTCCTCATTGCTGTGATCTGCATTTAAGAGCATAAAACAGAGAATCACTGCAGATATTTTATAGAAGTTTGCCAGTTTTCTGTACTTAATTCAGCTAAATTGATCATTTTCAATGAATTTATGATTATTAAGTTACTAATGTTCTTTTGTGGATGACCTGTAAGTTCTTATCAAGGGAAATTATACAGAAAACATAAAGTTAACCTTCTAAAACAGAGCAGGGTAAATGATGTGAGGAAAATAGGCAACAAAGTGAAAAGAATTAAAGATTTTCTTGTGTGGTTTTTAAATAATGGAGGGCAACACAAATGCACTGTCACTAAATCCACTCCCTCTCATCCCTCTTTTGTAATCTAGATGTCTACATAGGGAAATTAAGACAAAACTACATGAACAGATTATCCATGACCGAAAGAGAAAGGTAGACACAAAAATGGAAACAAAGTTGAAAATGGGAGATTTGTGAAACACCCATTAAAATCCTTTACCTCTTAATTAAATGTAGAGCTTTAATGTTTATGTAACTGTGGTCAGTATGTCAGCATTATGTAAGCATTCCAAGAATTAAAAAAGTGAGGACGAAGGCTGAAAGTCGTGAGAGAAAATGTGTCGGCTGTCACACACCTTGGTGTAGCTGTAGTATGTGTCCTTGTAGAGCTGTTGGGATGATGGGCTCTGGAAGTTCCTGCAGGAAGAGTCGAAGCAAACTGACCGCTGAAGCCAGATCGGCCTCCTTCTCTAGCTCCACCTCCTCACCGTTGTCGTAGCGCTGACGCAGCCAGTCTACTCGCTCTGCATTGCCATTAACCAGGAAGAGCCCTTCAAAGTCCAAATTACCTGACGACACAGACAATGACACTTAAAATCACGACGGAGGACACTTTAAAACTGAACAAGTTGCTCAGAATATGTTTTTGCACTTTAATATTCAGCTGGAGCGCGATGGACTGGATGAGATCTGTCTTTAAAATGTTCTTTTATTATTTTATCTTCACATACGAGTTAAAACAAAAGTTATAATTATGCTCCAATCTCTTGCCAAGTAACTTACTTTTGTGTTTAAAGTTCCAAATACAGTGGTTTGCAAAAGTATTCATACCCCTTGAACTTTTCCATATTTTGTCACATTACAACCACAAACAAATATATTTCACTGGAATTTAATGTGAAAGACCAACACAAAGTGGTATACAATTGTGAAGTGGAAGCAAAATTTTACATGAATCAAAACATTTTTTACAAATAAAAAACTGAAAAGTGCGACGTGCAAAAGTATTCAGCCCCCTTTTCCCTGAGTGCAACCAATTGCATTCAGAACTTGCCTGATGACTGCTAATGACTCAAAAGGGTCCACCTGTGTGTAATCTAATCTCAGTACAAATACAGCTGCTCCGTGACGGCCTCAGATGTTGGTTAAGAGAATATTGGGGAGCAAACAGCATCATGAAGTCCAAAGAACACACCAGACAGGTTAGGAATATGGTTTTGGAGAAGTTTAAAGCAGGCTTAGGTTATAAAAAGATTTCCCAAGCTTTGAACATCTCACGGAGCACTGTTCAATCCATCATCCGGAAATGGAAAGAGTATGGCACCACAGTAAACCTGCCAAGACAAGGCCGTCCACCTAAACTTACAGBCCGAACAAGGAGATCACTGATCAGAGAGGCAGCCAAGAGGCCCATGGTGACTCTGGATGAAATGCAGAGAGCCACAGCTCAGGTGGGGTAAACTGTCCACAGGACAACAATTAGTCGTGCACTACACAAATGTGGTCTTTATGGAAGAGTGGCAAGGAGAAAGCCATTGTTAAAAGAAAACCATAAGAAGTCCCGTTTGCAGTTTGCCAGAAGCCATGTTGAGGACACAGCAAACATGTGGAAGAAGGTGCTTTGGTCAGACGAGACCAAAATTGAACTTTTTGGCCACAATGCAAAACGCTATGTGTGGCYGAGAAAGAACACTGCACATCACTCTGAAAACACCATCCCCACTGTCAAATGTGGTGGTGGCAGCATCATGCTCTGGGGGTGCTTCTCTTCAGCAGGGACCGGGAAGTTGGTCAAAGTTGATGGGAAGATGGATGGAGCCAAATACAGGGCAATCGGAAGAAAACCTGTTGGAGTCAGCAAAAGATTTGAYACTGGGGCGGAGGTTCACCTTCCAGCAGGACAACGACCCTAAACATAAAGCCAAAGCTACAATGGAGTGGTTTAAAAAAAAGAATATTCATGTGTTAGAATGGCCCAGTCAAAGTCCAGACCTAAACCCAATTGAGAATTTGTGGCAAGATCTCAAAACTGCTGTTCACAAACGCTCTCCATCCAATCTGACTGAGCTTGAGCTGTTTTGCAAGGAGGAATGGGCAAGAATTGCAGTCACTAGATGTGCAAAGCTGGTGGAGACATACCCTAAAAGACTTGCAGCTGTAATTGCAGCAAAAGGTGGCTCCACAAAGTATTGACTCAGGGGGGCTGAATAATTTTGCACATCGCACTTTTCAGTTTTTTATTTGTAAAAAATGTTTTGATTCATGTAAAATTTTGCTTCCACTTCACAATTGTATACCACTTTGTGTTGGTCTTTCACATTAAATTCCAGGGAAATATATTTATGTTTGTGGTTGTAATGTGACAAAATATGGAAAAGTTCAAGGGGTATGAATACTTTTGCAAACCACTGTATATGTTGGTCTTTCCTCCAATCACTCCAAGATTAGAAGCTTGTAGTAAATGTACAAATTGTATTATTTATTTTTATATATAAATACAAGAGATGAACTGATCATTGGACTAAGCCTTTCCAAACAAAGGAAATGAATTTAATCTATACAGCTGACTTCATGTTTTCTCTATGCAGCAAAGAGTGTCTGTGGTGCATTCAATGACTATGGCTGGTCAGGCTATTATTATAACACCGGCCTGTATAAGTCACAAGACTATATGCGGGCGCTTCTCTAACAGAGATAATCACGCACGTGTAGATGTAAATGCATTTTTACATCTAAACCATTTCCTTTTACGTTCCACAAAACCGAATCTGAACGCCAAGTTTGATAATGTCATTGATGATGATAAACTAACAGCATCAGTAAGTCCTTGCTTTTTTCTAAATGATCATGCGTCTTCTCTTACATAATGAGCCATCTTGTAGCGTTTGATGTGTTTTCACACAAATCTGAGGCAAAGCATTTTGTTTGCATTTGTAAAAGACTCATTATAGGCACAAAAGCGAATTATTTGTATTTCCTTTGCTTTGTTTTTGTTTTTTCTTAGCAAGTACTTTGAAAAATTAAAAAGAAGTGATAATTTGCTATCATAATCAATTCTGTTGCGTTAAAAAATAGATAAAAAATTACAGATTAATTTTTACGAGCCAAATAAATACACAATAAAAAAAGCCTCATTTAAAGGGATTTTTGTTTTTCATTCCATAACAACAAGGATTATGAAAAGACGTCTTGGTGGCGCCTCTCGTCTCCTGCTCACTCCCAGGCTCTTTCATCCATTAGCAACCCAGATAACACACTCTTCAAGCCCAAATGCCCAAAAGGAGTCCTGTGGGACATATTCCCTTTTATAGCTTCACAGAGTAGTTCACATAAGAGGAGCTTCAGTATGAAGATATTGCTTCACTACAAGTTGAAATAAAGAGTCTCCCTGATGTTTCTATGGCTTTYTGTATTGACGATTACATCAAAACACTAAACACAAACAAAATCTACAAAAAAGCTTCAGATTTTTAAAAATTTATATTTTCTAATTAAGGCCCCCTTTAAAAACAATATATTAAAGTGATTTTCAAAACACCCTGCCTGTAAAAAAAAAAAAACAGTATTCTACTCAAAACAAAAAAGATTAAAGCATTTTCACTGTCTGAATGACTTCCTGAAAGCAAACACCGCTTTAATTAAAGCTCCAGCAGAGGCCCTGGAGGATTTTAGACATATTACATAACTTCACACGGTCGGACAGCGCTCGGGTTCACAGAAAAAAAAAAAAAACCATCACCCCGCTTTCAGCCTCACTAGAGGGGATTTAAACAGACACTTTGTTCCAACAGAATAAAAATATGTCCATTAAACTGACAAGTTTTATAAGAAACAGTCTTTGTGTGACTGTTGTAGCTGATAAGACAAAAAAAGGAGAAAGAATGAAATTTTGTTTAATTATTTTTACGTCTCGATATTCTCATTATCCTGGTTTCCTTTTTTCTACTTTATTTTGTGACATTTTTCCAAAAACTGCTTCACTAATTTAAACAATAGTGTTTCACATGATATAAATAACATATATGATTAAAACAGTACATCCTTAGCAGTACAGACTGGTTAGGTGTCTGGTTTTTGTTTGGCAGTGAGTTCTGTAATGTGCAAAATGACGCTTTCAGTTCCTACCATTAAAAGTCATATTTAGCTAAACATTTATAATCTCACTGTGACAGATGAGCTCTCCATTACTAGCCTGCTCTTCTTTAAGAAAATGGCATAAWGCTTATGTTAGCTTAGGAGTCTGCTGTAGATGAAATCATGTGTGGAAGGATACGGGAAGGACCCAATACCCTCTCCACACCGTTCTGGATCCTTGGACGAGCTGCAGTTAACAGAACTGTTATGTAACAAAGAAAGGAGCCAAGGGTGGATCTTTCTGCTTGTGTCATCAGAGTTCATCTTACAAACTGGATTTTCACAACATATTTTGCTTTTCTTAGAACGCAAGGGAGGTCACCAAAGATCAACAGTAACCTTGATCCTTAATGCAACTTGTTTACAGAGTGCCGACCCTGCAATGGGTCACAGTTGATAACAGGTGGTTTGTTTTTTGAATCTCACACAGTTCAACTGCACCAACTGACCTGAGGGGGAAAAAAATCTGAAAAACTTTGATTTGCAAGTATTTTGCTTTTATTTTATCCATATCATCTTTCATTTTTTTATTTT